ATCCCAGACTATAAAGTATGTGGGAGAGTTCATAGAATCATAGAAGCATAGAGCTGGAAGAGACCTCAGAAGGTCATCAAGTCCAGCCCCCTGCTCTAGGCAGGACCAATCCCAACTAAATCAACCTGGCCAGGGCTTTGTCAAGCCGAGACTTAAACACCTCTAGGGATGGAGACTCCACTACTTCCTTAGGTAACCCATTCCAGTGCTTCACCACCCTCCTAGTGAAATAGTTTTTCCTAATATTCAACCTGGACCTCTCCCACCACAACTTGAGACCATTGCTCCTTGTTCTACCATCTGTCACTACTGAGAACAGCCTCTCTCCATCCTCTTTGGAATCTCCCTTCAGGAAGTTGAAGGCTGCTATCAAATCCCCCCTCACTCTTCGCTTCTGCAGACTAAACAGACCCAACTCCCTCAGCCTCTCCTCATGAGTCATATGTTCCAGCCCCCTAATCATTTTGGTTGCCCTCCGCTGGGTTGTTTTGGGTTTTTTAGGGGGTTTTTTATACACAGCCCCTGACAACCAAGTTCTTGCTAGAACTGTCAAGAAAGCAGAGGCAAAGTATCCCAAAAAGCAGGAAAGCAGCTGGAAAACCAATAATTTCCTCTATTTACATTTCACTGTGCAGTGTAACCTATTTTACAAACAAGGCATGATTGGCTAAAGTTTTACAGATGGCTCCTAAATTTGCAAGGATAAATTTGTGCACACAATACTTAACAAGCAAAAACATGCCAAGAGGGTGAGCAAATTAGGCAGGTAGATTTCATGCTATGTGATTTCACACACAAATCGTATTTAGAGACTGGATGGAGATTCCTTTGAAATTGTATCCCATGCAAAAAAATAACAGTTTATATTCTTTAAATACCTTCCAACAGATGATCTCAAAACATTTCACAAACATGAAGGAATGAAGACTCCCAGTACACTGTGGTTGTGTCTAGACTACAGGGTTTTGTCGACAAAAGTGGACTTTTGTTGACAAAACTATCCCTGCCTCTACACTGCTGCTGAGTTCTGTCGACATAACGTTGACAGAACTCAGCAGTTTTGTCAACAGCTGTAAACCTCATTCTACGAGGAATAACGCCTTTTGTCAACAGAGTTCTGTCGACAGAAGACGTTATTGCATCTACACTGTCCTTTGCGTCTACACTGTCATGTCAACAAAGTGGCTTGCTTTGTCGACAGAACTGGACGCTCTTTGTCGACAGAAGCTTTGTTGACAGCATCTGTCAACAAAACTTCTGTCGACAAAAGCCTGTAGTCTCAACGTACCCTAGGAAACAGCTCGTATGAGTAATTGCATAGCTCCAGAAGGGAAGAGTGAGGTTCTAAGTGGTTAAGTGACTTGTGCAAGATTGTAGAGCAAATAAGTGTCAGGGTGAGTCACAAAATCCTACCACAACTGACCAAACCCACTTCTGTAAGGATGGGAATGGTCTTGATGTTGTCATTTAACTAGCAAAAGATACTGGCACCAAGGTGACAACTAGTGAGATGGACTGAATAAGGCTGCATACACAGTTACTAATTCCCTAGGTGAAGCCCATTTGTTTTACATTTGAGTTGTGCATAGAATGTCTTTCCTGAACTTTTTGAAATTTGGTTTCATTCCAATTTGGGACTGTCTGGTCACACTGCAGGCTGCTCTATAGCCAAAGACTCTATAGCCTGATGGGCTGATGTGAGGCCAGTATCCTGGGAGCCTGGCTCTGTAGCAGCGCACAAGGCAAGGTGTGAAGGAGCCTGGGTCATGGGGCTTCCAAGATCTTGGCTTCCTGTCAGCCCACTAAGCAGCTGCCAAAAAGCCAGGAGCCTAGCAGCCGAAATTCCATAGTCTCCTCCCACATAGGAGACCAAAAAAATGGGAGGAACCTAGGCAGATTCCTGACCGAACCCTACCTAGGTTCCATCACAAGTTTGACAAAATCAAGCAGTCCCTGAAAGATGGGTGTTTCAACAAATCCACACTCTCCAAGGTCCACTGGAGGATTTCCCACTAGCCAGGATGGTCAGGAAGGGTGTCCTGAGCCTCTGTTTGTCAGAAGCTGGCAATGGGTGACAGGAGAGGGATCACCTGTTCTGTTCATTCTCTCTGAGGCACCTGGCATTGGCTACTGTCAGCAGACAGGATGCCAGGCTAGATAGACCTTTGGTTTGGCTGTTCATATGTTTTTACATTCCATTGGTCCTGCAGCCAAGAAATAGCAACTGGGGAGTCGGGGGTCGGGAAGAAACTTAGTTACAGTTTGCCTGGACAGGGCTGTCAAAGCAAAATCCATCACCTTTGTTTGTGTTTATACAAATTGTGCACTACAGAGCTGAAAATATAATAAAAGGAAAGGGTCAGTGCTTAATTTCTGCCAGGACTCAGTCCTGACGCCTCTAGGCTTGGCCGTTCATAGTCCCAGTACCTTGGGGCTTGCCACATTAATTACAAAATTTTTAAAAAATTGCTTGAGCCCCAGCATGATTTTCATTAGAAACTTAGCATTGGCCAGGTTGTTGCTTGGGCGGAGCACAGCAGCGGGCAGAGGGTGGCTGAAAGGGGGTGGGAGGCAGACTGACATTCCTCAGCATGGAGACCTACTTGTGGTGTTGCTCCTGGCAGCTGGGAAGGCTGTGGGAGAACTCAGGGGGAATCCTAAGATGTGTCGTGATCAGCTCCGCCATCCCACAACACTTCATTGTGGGAAACACGTCCACCATCAGTGGCGACTGGTGACAGGCGAAAGGGAGAGCACTGGCTATGTGCCCCCCCCAACCTGGGGAAGGTCTAGGACAATCCCCTTCCACCTCAGTCCTCACCTCTCCCAGCCCCCTTGCTCCAGCCCTGCCGGGCTCTTGCTCCCCCCCGAAGGACGAACAGGGTCACAGAGTTGGCACTGGCCATGGGGATCCATGCCATGCCTCTCTGCACTCACCAGCAGCAGCAGGGAGGGCCTGCAGTGGGTGACTTCAAGTTATGAGGCACCGCTTTCTGGCCGCACCACTCCGAGGGAGTGCTGAGGTGGTCCCACCCATCCCCTGAAGCAGCATGGCCAGACAGCAGTGTCACACAAACTGACATTGCCTGGCCTGTGCCTTCCCTGATGCTGCTGCTGCAGGTGAGTGCGGGGAGGAGGAGGGGTGTGTAGACTCCTGCTGCC